AGAGAGAGAGAGAGAGAGAGAGAGAGAGAGAGAATCTTAAGCAGGTTCCACACTCAGCACAGAGCCCAACACGGGGCTCAATCCCATGACCCAGGGATCATGACCTAGGCCTAAATCAAGAGTCAGACGCTCAACCAACTGAGCCACCCAGCTGCCCCAAGTACTTTTTTTTTTTAAAGTAAGTTCTGTACCCAGTGTGGGGCTTGAACTCACAACCCCGAGATCAAGAGTCACATGTTCTAGCGACTGAGCCAGCCAGGCATCCCTCTATTAATGAATTTTATTTTTTTTCAACGTTTATTTATTTTTGGGACAGAGAGAGACAGAGCATGAACGGGGGAGGGGCAGAGAGAGAGGGAGACACAGAATCGGAAACAGGCTCCAGGCTCTGAGCCATCAGCCCAGAGCCCGACGCGGGGCTCGAACTCACAGACCGCGAGATCGTGACCTGGCTGAAGTCGGACGCTTAACCGACTGCGCCACCCAGGCGCCCCAGTGAATTTTAAATGAAAACACAAATTGCCACAACTTGAGGGGAACTGTCAACTTTTAATTTCAGTTCCAAACCCAAGTTTTACTTTGTCTTTATATTAATGCAAAATGCATGATTCAATGGAAGGATACAGAAATGCATAATTCAATCTATAAAATAGAAAGATCTGGCAATAATTGACTCTTCATTTGGTGTGGCTAAGTAACACTAATTTCAAAATGTCAAAAACCCATTCTGTTTTGAGTCAATAATAGGAAAAAACAATTATGAATAGATATGTTTTCCAGCCTCTACCCAGATCCATGGTGGCAAAGTCAGAAATACAGGACTACTTGCTTGAGTTTAAAAAGTTAAAAAAGGGGCGCCTGGGTGGCGCAGTCGGTTAAGCGTCCGACTTCAGCCAGGTCACGATCTCGCGGTCCGTGAGTTCGAGCCCCGCGTCAGGCTCTGGGCCGATGGCTCAGAGCCTGGAGCCTGTTTCCGATTCTGTGTCTCCCTCTCTCTCTGCCCCTCCCCCGTTCATGCTCTGTCTCTCTCTGTCCCAAAAATAAATAAACGTTGAAAAAAAAATTTAAAAAAAAAAATAAATAAAATAAAATCCGAAATCTTTTGGTATTACATAGAAATAGTGTGCTAGTGCTTTATATCAACTGAAAATACTGTTCCCAGATAATCTGATGTGTGAAAATCACGGCCTCCCGATACTTGTGAAAGTCACAACTCACCCTTCCTCGTACTGGTTCTTACTGAACAGACTAACGAGGATAGTCCTGGGGTGCCTGGATTAATACAGTTAGTCCTGGATTCTCTCTCTCTCTCTCCTTCTGCCCCCTCCCCTGCCTTCTCTCACGTACATGTGCTCACTCCCTCTCAAAATAAAAAATAAAAATTAAATAACAATTTTTAAAAAAGAGGACAGTCTTTCTGGTTATTCTACAGATATTTCCTGAGTGCTAACTATGCGCGCCCACTATGACAGGTGCTGGGGATAGGTCACGTTTTGCAACATTCAAACGGTCAGGAGATAGCATAGCTTGGAGAGTGAGTTCTCAGATTCGGGAGTCAAAGAAAGGTGGCTTGATTTCTGGTTAAGCCATGTGTTAGCTGATGACCCTCTGGCCACCTATCAAACTTGCCAGAGGCTCAGTTTCCTCAGCTGAAAAATAGGCTGAGAGAGTTTTTTTTCCCCTTTTGTTAAAAAAAAAAAAAAAATGCCAGTACAAAGCACTGTACAAAGCACTGTACAAAGCACAGTACAAAGCATTAAGGAAAGTGCTCAAAAACCAGTTATGCTATTGTAAGGGCCACTATGCTATTTTTACAGCCCAGAAATGGCCCAGTTTTGGAAAATGGAGGCCGTGTTTCTACATCAATGGGAGAATTTAAAAAGCATTACAAACGGGAGGCTGAATCAGCCATATTTCTTACAGTTACGTGTATACGCTTACCAAATGGAGCCAGCTGTCACAAAAACAATCCAAGGTTGTTGTTGCTGCTTTTTGTTTTAATTCTTAAACTTCTGATGGCCAACTGGATGCTTAATCCAGTAGCTGGCCGAGCTTCCCTACATTGCCTTGTTTACATATTTTCTTCAGACGTGGGTAGTATTATGAAACAAACCCTTCAGTTTGCACACATTCAGAGCTGCTCTCTAACTTCACTTCTGACAAATGTATTTTCTTAATGTTTATTATTTTTGAGAGAGAGAGAGAGAAACAGAGCATGAGTGGGGGAGGGGCAGAGAGAGAGGGAGACACAGAATAGGAAACAGGCTCCAGGCTCCGAGCCATCAGCCCAGAGCCCGACGCGGGGCTCGAACTCACGGACCGCGAGATCGTGACCTGAGCTGAAGTCGGACGCTTAACCGACTGCGCCACCCAGGCGCCCCTCGTAGAGTGCTTTTTAAAATTTATTTTTTATTTGATTTTTTTTAAGTAATCTCCACAACTACTGTGGGGTTCGAACTCACACCCGGAGATCAAGAGTCACACGCCCCACCAACTGAGCCAGCTGGGCACCCAATGCCTTAGACGATTTCTTAAAGGGTTATCACGTGAGCACGTATTTTGAGAAATTAAACATAAACGAAAGATAACCAGGCATGAAAGGAAACAAGTTTTCTGGAGGTCAGTTAAAAATGCAAAGGACTCCTGACACGGCTCATAATTAAGTGTGTGCTTGTTTCCCCTGAGCTCGTCGTGTTGTTTGGGGAGCAGCATTCCCAGGGAATGCAGGAAGAGGTGGCCTGTTTCTCCTGGCTACCAGAGTCTTTGTGTTGCCTTACGTGAATAGTGTGAATCCAACTCTCTGTCGCAGCTGCTCCCAAGATCCAGTAGCTTTCTCAAATAATAACATCATTTGTTACTAAATGGTTCAAATGGGGGAAAGGAAGTCCTTGAATGGATTCCTTTGTGTTTCATTCTGTGGAAACAGAGAGGCATGGGTTATAGGTTGTGCTCTTCGGGAAGCTAAGTCAGGGTCAAATATTAGCATTTAGGAGGTTGATTAGGAAGTGCTCTTGGGATCAACACCTGGGGACAGGGTGGGACAAAAGCAGGATGGGGGAGAGAGAGAGAGAGAGAGAGAGAGAGAGAGAGAGAGAGAGAGAGAG